ACGGCCCATTTTTCCGGCGGCGCCGACGTTAGATTGCCGGCTGTGAACACGTTCGAGAGGGTGGCGGATGATGTGAGTTGTTTAACGATGGCTTCGTCGTCGGATTTTGGGATTTTGGGGAATTTGGCGCAGATGAACTTTTTGATCGGATATGATATGGAGGCGATGAGATTGTCGTTCAAGTCAACGGTGTGTGCTTAGTTTGACTCCTAACTCCCGTTCCGTTACATGTTTGCTTTGTTTGTTGGTTGTGTAACGGCTGAAAGAAAACAGTTTAAGTTAATCAATATATTATTATAAAGCTTAAGTTACATTTTAATTTATCTCGAAAAAGAAAAAAGTCAAATTTTAATTTGTATGCTTTAAAATTTTTTGTTTATCATCCCTAGCATTTTACCTTTTTTTTTTCTGTTAGTATTATATCATTTGATAATTAAATTCATTAAGAGTTTTTTTAAGTCTTAAATCTTAATGGTTAGGAATTTAGCAGAACACGTTGTTTATCAGTAACTTCTCTAAAGGTTTGGGAATGAACTCACAACTCACATGTTGTACTAAAAAAAACTTCTTTAAAGATTGAAGGTTTCAATTCTCACCGTTCGGATTGTGATGTAATGTTATAAAATGGTAATTAAGGTTAATATTTGTACTATTTTTTTAAATAAAAAATATGTTTTAAAATTTAATTCAATTCATATTTTTCAACTTACTTGGCTTATTTTAACTTGAGGGTAACTCAAATGGTTACTGGTAATACATCGAGATGTCGTTGTCGCGTGGGAATATTAGAAAGTCATGTGGTTAAGTCATTGGGAGGTGTTCAAGGTATGACTAATTGCGCCTAAAGTCAAATTTGAAGTGAAGTATTAGACCGAAGAGGCGAATCGTACATATTTTGAATGGTGGAACACTTATATGGACATGTAGTAATAACTTGAGTTTAGCTCAAGTGGTTAAAGTACTTATCTTTATTTTTTTAGTAAAACATGTGAGGAAGAGAGTTTGAACTTATAACCTCTTAGTTGGACATATATATTAACTATCGCTGCACTATACTCGTTTTGGGAAATCAATAGATTTTTAATTTTTTTTTAAATTAGAAGTTACATTAAATTAAGCCACATGGGCTAATTAGATTGAAGGGAAGTCCCCTTTTACAAAATCCAACAACCAAGAAGGATAATGGGAGTGCCATGTACACGTGGTTGAGGCAGAAATTCCCCATTTTTCCAACTAGTGGGCACACAAGTTACAATTTTGGGAGACATGAGTGAACTAAATGGATCCGAATTCTAGGGCCAAGGAGCAGATCTCCAAAATCCAGTTCAATTCATCCTCCAAAATTTGTAAATTTCCTCGAATCGAACGGATTGCCTCTTGGCAATCAAATTCAACTTCCAGACGAAGGCAATTCCTCGAACGAGCAAGCTTTAAAGCTTCCAAGATTCCTCTAATTTCGACCAAAAGAGGGGTAAAGAGATGCATAATATAACTTACTTTCGCCACCATCAGGTAACCTTTATTGTCTCTAATGATCAAACCAAATCCCGTTAACGCAGATCGACAAGTTACATCAGAGTTAACCTTCAAAACATAACCGGATGGAGGAAGCCAACGATGAGAGCTTAGGGAAGGAGAAGCTTCTGACCTCTGCTGAAGCAAGTCTCTCCTATTTACCTGGGCAAATCATAGATATTTCATTGTTCTTAAATGAAAATTATTATTTTAAACCATATATTTGTCTGGGTGAGATAATTCTAATCTCGTAACTTCATGAATAATTGAACCCTATACTTGAATTAAGTAGTAAAATTAATATCATTGTTAAGTTGAGATTTCATATTTTTAAGATAATTTGTATCTAATAAGTATTTTTTTTGTCGTTGATATTTATGTTGTATTTGTGGGTTGTTTTTAGCCATGTTGATGCCTGGGTTTAGTCACTATTTGAGAGATTTTGAATTCCTTGAAAAGTGACTATGGAACAATTTTAAACCACTAATTGCATGATATTGATTTAAATAGGATTGTTTTTTTTGGTGTTTAGCTTAGAGATAATGGACACTTGTCTCTAACCAATAGGTGAGAATTTAAACCCACAACCTTTTGGTCGGTGTATATTACCTAATCAATTGAGCAATGTTCGAGCGACAACTTAATATTTTGATCATATTTTAAGTATTTCATCCCAGAATTTTATGACTCGAGTTTAAATATAATTTTATTGAACTTCATGTGATATATTGTTTTAAATTTTCAAAAGTACTAAACTCATTAATTGAATGAAATTAAAAGTTGAAAAGTTTTCCCAAAAAGAGAATATTTGAACTTTTAAGAAGATTTTAAGTCAAATAATGCATCCACTAATTGAGCGGGGCTCATATTGCTACACAGATGAAAGTTAAATTACAAATCTAATTAGTAAATTTTAAAATTTGTGACGAATAGAGGAAACTTTAACAAAAATATATAATATCTTAAATCTATAATTTTATATCTCCACACTAGAGTATGATATTGTCAGATAAGCCTCATGATTTTGGTTTTAGTTTCACTCAAAAGGTTTCATTGTCATGGGGATGGTGTGCCTCTAATTTATATACCAAAATCTTCTTCTTTACTAGTCAATGTGAGACTTTAATCGTATTTCCAACAATCGTCACCTCGATCAAAGATCCATCGACGAGACTTTGGTCGCACATCTAACAGTGACCTAATACTAAATATAAAATTTTAAATTTTAAAACCTATGTCATATTTTTAAACATGGACCAAAAAATTAAAAGTTTGGAAACCTATTATATACCTGGAAACAACCTTTCAATTTTACAAAATAACCTTGTAATATTTTAGTTTCTGTTTTTTTTTTTGGGTGAGCTCAATTAAAGCAAAATTTACAATAGGGTTTAAATATATTCACCATCCATCCATAAATAATAAAGAAAAAAAAGAAGAGAAAATTGAGAATGCCACGTCAGCGTACGGAAGGAACGGATAGGATCACATCAGGATGAGATAACTCGGAGGAGGCACTGGGTCAGTTTTGTTTGGAGAACAGAGCAGCGAATGTGAACAGTGAAGTGAAATGGGGCAGTCGGTCACACGCTTGGAAGCATCCCCTTCGCACGTGCCACTCCTTCGCCTCCCTGTCGAATATTCCACATGCTCGCTCGCCCTCACTCTCTCTCTCTGCAAGCAAGCTGCAAACTCAGCCATATCGCCAAGCTCTCCTTCAAGATTCCTCTCTCCTTCTA